TCATATTTTGTCAGACTTTCCTTGTATTTTTATGACTCTTATTTTAAAAAATTCATTGCCTAAGACATCCAATATTATCAGCCATCTGTATCCATGAATTCTGCATCAGTGGATACAACCTACCTTGAGTTAAAGATATTAAAAAAATCCACCTTTACTGAACATGTACACTTTTGTGTGAGGTGTTACAGATTGAACATAGAGCCTCACACGTGAGCTGGTGCTCTGCCACTGAGCTATATACCATTAACCCATAAAGATTTTTTCTTTGTTGTAATCTCCCCAAACAATATAGTCTAACATTGTCTTCAACTTTTACATTGTCTTAGGTATTGTAAATACTTTAGATACACTTAAAGTACACAAGAAAATTACATAACTTAAATGCACATGTTTACCATTTTATATAAGGGTTTGAGCATCTGGATTCTGAGATTCATTAAGAAGTGTGTTTGGAACCAGTCCCCATCACCAAGGGATGATAGATGTATGATTTGTAATAGAAAGTGGAGAGCCTTGTGTTTTTCCTAACTCTAAAGAGAATGCTTTGTCTTAAAGTATGACTTTAAAATTTGTCATTGATTTTCTAGATATTCTTCATCAGATTAAAGGAATTCTATTTTGTAAGCATTTTTGTCATGACAGGATTTTATACAACCTTTATTCTATTAGATAACAGATTTTCCCCTTTAATTTCTTTAATGTGGTGAATTACATGAGTAGATTTATAGACACTTAACTGTCTGTGTTTAAAGCTCACCCAGTCAGGTTATAGGTGCATTTTTATGCCAACATGCATATATATGCATGTATGTGTAGATACATTCACATGTAACTATTACATACGTACATAATGTGAATTACTAATCTATTAATATTTTTGTGTCTATGTTCATAGATGAGGTTAACCTATCTTACAGTATCTTTGTCAGACTTTTATAGAGTTTTTTATTGATTTATTTTTTTGGAGGGTCTTTCTGAAATAGTTTCACTATGCCACTATGCAGTTTAGGCTGGCTTGGACTTTGTAGCCAGCACTGTAACTGATAGTCTTAGTGTTAGTATCACACAGAGAAAATAATGGGTTATTCTGTTTTAGTTCAATAACAAACTCAAATCAAACTTGTTAGTGGCTGAGATTTTTTTCCCTCTTTACTTGAGCCTCTTATTACATATATATATTTTTTCCTCCTTTCCTTTCTAGTATTCTATGCAAGAAGAAAGTCAGAGGAAGCCATTGTCCACTGCTGCCGCCCAGTGTTGTAAGTGAGAAACTCACCTCTGAACCTGTCTTAATTGCATTTTTCTGCAACCTTCTTTATATATGGTTTATTTTGAGTTGGGGAGGGTAGAGACATAGTGTTTGTAAACAGAAGATATTACAGAAATTCGGATGTCTAGGCACAGGCATCCAATGGCTTCTTGTACATCAGCTTCAGGAAGAGGTTTTGTACACTTTTGGCAATGAAGCAGTGCTTACTGTTTTTCTCCATTTGCAAGCTTTTGTTATTGGGTGTCTGATTCAAATTCATATTCTCTCTCGCTCACTCGCTCTTTCTCTTCCCCGCTTCTCCCCCCCACACACCATACTGGGTGTTAATTCATGACTTTCCTACTGCTGCAGAATTGCCCACTCTCAGCCTGAATTTGAACTTGTGTCCCAAAGTATGGGATTTCAGGGTCGTGCCACGGTGCCGGGGTTGCCTGTTGTTGTTTAAGGCTCAGTTTAAATATCTCCATTTCTGGGAATTCTTTGTGCTGTTTCCTCCTTCTTACAAGTTAACTT